GGGGTCCGCGGACCGAAAAAAAAAAGAAGGTATTTTAGAGGGCGAATGGTGCCATTTGGTACGGTTTCGAACCTTGATTCAGCATTGGTGTGATTATTTTTTCAGAAATCGAAGGGGGTGGGTGGGGGTGTCAGGACCCCCCCTCCCCCCTCTAAATCCATTACTGGGTCTCTGGAGGGTACTGTAGGCCTACGTGATTGTTTTAACACGGGATCGAAGGCCTATATAATATCGGTCCCACAACCTAGCTCACTGTTATCTTCACGATCATAGAATGACGTTACATATGATCATAAAATAACAACAAAAAAGCTGTCCAATATGGATCGCGAAGCTGCTTAATTACCTTAGCAGTAGAAAAGCCCTAGTCTAAAGGCCACGGCTGGGGACATCGAAGGTGACCCAATTAAAGAGTCCTTTCTCGACGTATAACTCCCTGACCTATCAATATCAATGGAAGGCTTAATCACAGCTGTTTCAATAATATTAAAATTTAACTAGGCATTCTCTTAATTTAGTAGATAATAGATTTCGTGGTGCTAATAGTTTCGATTTCCGACTTTTCATTTTAAGATCTTTTAAGGAAAACCGGTTCGATTACACCCTATCAAAGCATTAAGTTGTGACATTTGCCCTTTTCTAGTTAGTGACAAAACCTTAGGTTGCTTCTCTATGATAATTGGCACTCTGTCCGCTCTAAAATAATGACGCCCGCGAGATACAACAAAATATGTACCGCACGCTGTAACCAGGAACTGCCACTCGGCTCCGAATGCAGGAACTGCTAGCTGTCGTCCATATTTGGTCACATGACGCGTTGCTAAATATAGCAATGGGATTTCCTTTCACTGGAACCCGGTGTCACGTGTACGGTCCGTTCTGCGTGAACCATCCGTCCTGACCGATTGTACACGCAGCAGACGCGTGTATGAGCCGTTCCGTGAATGATCCGTTGTTATTCACCTGTACTATTATATTCGGCTAGTTCATTTCCTACCACATTATACATTTGCTATGATGGGGATAAAATTCATGTGTTAATTGATAATTTTAATAGGGAATCAGCGTCAAATTACAGTTTGATGCATGGATGAACCTACCGTGGACGGGACGTCATTTTCAGCTGCTGGCTACTATTTTAGTATTGATTTTACTAGGCTAGTGTGTTGATATGGCCACCTGAGGGAAATCGCAGTGGAGGAGAACATCTATAAGATTTGAAAACTGCTAAAGATTGTGTTTGAATTTGCAGTATGTTCTCAACAGCGCATGATTATTAAAGTCTAAGAATGTATTCATGACTCTATAGTGACGGACTGTACACGCCGGAAGTCTCTCAGATTTGCCTGCGCTTTGTGCGCATGAGCAGAACGGATTGTTCACGCTCCGAGCAGTACACGCCACACCGGATAGTAAACCATATATTTAAATGGATTTTCAGGCCCTCTAGATAAGTAAAAAAAAAAATAATAATAATAATAATAATAATATATAAGATGAAATAAAAAAGTATAAAATGCGTCACGCAGTCATAAAAGCGAGACACAGCTGGGTTCCTATAAAATCATTATTTTATTTATTCTTCATTTTTTGCCTCAGGTTTAAAAAATCTTCAACATGGTTTATTTATGCCTAATAATGTGAGAATTGTAATCAATTATAAAATTTACTTTTTTTCTGACTCTGACAAAAATTAATAAAAAGTGAAATACAAAAGAATACTGGTAAAAATAAACAAATAAATATGATGAATAAATTTAGATAATCTAAATTGGCTTACCCAATTTCAAATATAATCAATTAATGAGACTAGCAATGTCCCAGAGTCTATACAGTAAATAAAAAGAAGAAAAAATGCAGTAAAACCCTTTAAAATTTGTGTTATTATTTTTATCAATGAAACATCAAAATAACACATTTGCAGATTTCTAAGTAAGTAGAACTGCAGACTGATATGCACATACCAGTATATGTACTCATTTTGACAAATTCAAGATTTAAAGAAAGGGATGCATAAAGCTGATTCTCCATATATATTATTCTTCTCTTATATCAATGGTTATATTTTATACCTGTTGACTCAACTAATAATATGATGAAAAAGCATCATCTATAGGATTCAAATTTAGTTGTACCGGTACTGGTAATATTTTCATGAGTGATTAACATATGCGTAAATCATGATATTACATACATTCATTTAGATATATACAGTGACCTGTACATATCATTCATCTAAGTAAAGAATAAATCTATTTTATCATCCTATTTGGAGACCACAGAAAACCTGTTTCACAGTCACAATAAAAATCATATCACAGAGAGGAACAAAAATAAAGAGGTCATTCTGTAGGGCAATCTTTTCAAAGTTAATCATAAAGTCATTACACTTAAGAAGAGGAGTCATGTGTCTCATTATGTGTAGATTCTTTAACTGTACAGGACGGGATTGCTTGTTTGATATGTTACACATAGGATAAAATCTAGAGGTCATTTTGAGATGTGTAAAACTGGTGCAAAAGGTATTTTCGCCAGTTGTAATTTTTGCCAAGGTTTGCCAAAGTATAATACTAATAATAAAAAATAATAATGATATTGATGCTGAAGTCCTAATTTTTCAACTGTCCAAACAGACATAAATATTTGTCCACTTGTCAATGAATTGAAAATTCACTGTCCTAGTTTTATTGAAATAAACCATCCAGGGTATTTACCAAGGGCCTGGGCTCTCCTACTGTTTTGGCCAAAAATATACCAGCTTGGTTAACATGGAAGTTATGCATGGAACCTGTTTCTTTTTGCTCATTGCCTTGGAGGCTGCATTTGACTCAAACTCGTACGCCACCTTCCTGTTAACAATGGTCATCAAGCTTAGGATGTCCAACTGTTGACCGTAGTCTCCCAGGACCTGAATGAGTGCCTGCATGAACCAAGATCCATTCGTCGGGTTACGCCAAGAAAAAAATCCTGGGAAAAAATAGATATTGTCCATAACATTTCCCAAGAAAGAAGAATTTTTACCACTTATTTTTCCATTTCTTTTTCTATATTGTATATTATATTTTATTTTATTTTTTTTTTGTAAAAAATGTTTGTACTTAGTTGTGGCAATTAAAGTTCATAACCATTAAGCACTATGCACAACAATGTGCAGTCATTCAAATTTTCCTCAAATAAAAAATTCAAAACTCAAGAATCTATCAACCATACCTACCTGGCACCACAGAGTAAGCAATGAGGAAGTCTGCCTCGGCAGGAATTTTGTGCACATGGTTTCTACCGTCTAGCTCATCCAGACCCGCTTCATCAGCAACCTCTACACCTCCATCTAGTTTAGTGCCTCGACAAGCCTGCGAAATGAAATAGAGTGTATATATAAAAGAGAAGTCCAACACAATTGCACAACTTGAACATTTTAGGACCAAGAAAGTTCAAGTTATGTGAATTAAGATTGAAGTTAGGCAAGATTCAAATTAATTTTATTTAATACCAAAGAGAAAATCTATATTGCTTAAAACAAATGAAAATTTGAGTAATATAAAGTGAATGAGTTATGCAAATCATGTAATTATCTTACATTTAGAGGGGCACTTTTTTATGCACACTGTGCTTATCCAAAAAAGAAAGTTGCCAGGCTGAAAAATTTAGGGTACAGTCCAAAGTTACTCCCCTGCACCTATAATCCCCCTTAGTAATTTTTTTGTGTATTATGCACATCAAACGACCCCACACCAATAGATAGCCACATCGATACATCCACTATAAAACTGCGGATGGAGGCGCACCGTTACTCCCCCACGTACTCCAATACTCCCCCACATCTTTGCTTCCCCAAATCATTACTGAGGGGGAGTATTGGTGCGGGGAAGTATAGAGATGTAACCGACATTTCCCCCTTGCTAGAGTATAAATGAAATATTGTTCTTTTTTCACTGCTATATAAAATCACTCAATGTATCTTAACCAAAGCAACAAGAAATGCTGAGTCAGTTTACCTGAATGAAAATGAGCTTTGGTTTCCCTGCTAATGTTGGACACTTGTCTCCCTTCAGAGGGGCTAGTAATATATCCAACTCCACTATACCATCAGTGCCATAAACAATTCCCTCGTCCCCATGTGACATAACTACCAAAGCCAGACAATCATTTTTGGAGTGATTACGGCGACCAACTGAAATAATAATAATAATAATAATAATAGTTCATATTCCACAGCTAAGTTAAAGAAAATAAATTAGAAAACAAGTTTAACTTTCCATGATAGAAATACTGGTAGCATTTAAGCAATCTTGAAAGCAAATGTCAAAAAAATTCATGCTGATATGAGGCTTGGATGCATGTGAAAGTAAGCAGATAATTACTGAGTCAACAGGCTAAATGTTTAGATGCAATATGTAACCAGACAAATCCTTACTATTTCTTATATAAATAATAATTATAGATAAAAGGAACTGCTGACTGCTACAGTATGAATTCATGAAAACATATATAATCTTCTATAAGAATTAAATAAAAGGCAGACGTGCTTAATTCAACAGCGAAATGCTTTAGATTGAATAAAAACGGATTTTTATCATAACTTCTCACCTTCACCCATGGTTCTTAACATCTGCGAACATGTTAAGTTCTCATAAGGCTCTACAACAAAACCCAGTGCCTCAAATCTGTTCTTAATCCCTTCTGCATCCTGCTTTGTACCTCGTCTCTCCTCCTTGTCAGTTTGTGGTTGAAAGACTTGATTGTTGATGACGATGGCATAACCTCTTTTTTTATGAGTCATCTTGTACTTCATGTCATGGTCTCCTAGAACTAATAAATAAATAAATAAATAAATAAATAAATAAATAACATCAATTTCACCTTAATTTAATTGAAATTAATTTAATGGTTTGAATCCCAGATTACCCTACCCTCTACCAGGACCACATATCAATTTTTCACTCGATATTCACAAATATGTCTCTGGCTAATTCATGTGCACATAATTGATCTGTGGCCCTGGTTAACTTTAAAGATTACATGCAGGAATCCAACCCTTTGATTGCAATCCATACCTAAATTTCACCTCATTAACTTTAATGAAACTCTCTCTCTCTCTCTCTCTCTCTCTCTCACACACACACACACACACACACACACACACACTCTGACGGTGCTGCACACACAGATACAGATTGAGACAGTTCAGATACGGGCGTAACTTACCAATACAGCCAAACAGACACGTACATAATTTAAATTAAAACGACTTTAAAATAATTACTTGTCACATTTCATTTAACATTAAGATCACTGAATTAAGAAGAATTACATGCATCTCATTTTTTATAACCATGCAACATAAGCAATGACAATTTCTTTATATTTATAAAATGCCACAAACTCATTTCATCTTTTGTGTCCTCCATCTTGCAGATCTTCTAATCCATATGAGGCGTACAAGTGGTCAGTCTGAAGAGCTGCAGGTAGAACTCCAGTTTTTATACATACTTAACATAATAAATGTGAATCACTTCAGGTTTAAAATATACACCTGAAAATACCAAGCCACAGTGACTAATGGGGAATTGGAAACACCTCATTACTTTGAACAATGGCTCAATTACTTTTCTTTCTTCGCCACTTCAGACCCAGCTCAGTCCTAAGCATAATATCAAAGGAATATTGTTGAAAAGAAAAATAATGTGTCATCCACTTTCACTTTCTCATCAGAAAAGAAGGTTGAATTGATTTCTTTTGAATTTGATATGACTCTACTGTATATTGTCACAAACTTTCACTTTCTCATTAGAAAAGAAAGTTCAATTCATTTGAATTGGAAGTGACTCGATATTGTCATACCTCAGGAACGTGTTTTAACCTCAGGAAAATTGTATTTAAAATATTTTAACCAAATATACTAGTTAACATAATGAGATAATAAATTAATTAACATTTAATTGAGAAAATGAAAGTTCAGCTATATATAATAATATGAATTTCAAAGCAAATATAAATACATGGTTGAATTCACTCATACAAATGAATATACATGTACGTGTAAAATTTTGTCAAGTTTGAATCGACTTTCAATTGTAAGGAAATCCCAACTGAAATTCCTTGATCCAAAGCAGATATATGTTCTCACATGATTCCCAGGTTTCCCCCTGTACTAAAATGCTTGAAACAAATGCACAAGTGAAAGGCATAAAGATAAAGAAGATCTTTGGAAGAACAAAATAAGTAAGATCTCAAGGAAAGTTAAATCCTTTTTGTTTACCTGGTAGTTCTACCAATGAAATTGAACTACTTAACGTTGTTCTGTAATGCTATTTTATATTTTCAAGGGTATTTGTTTAGTGTTTAAAATCAGCACACAGATAGATGCATTATTTAATAATTAGATTCAGGAAAAGCCACATTTTTTGGTATCTGGATGATAATATAGGCTTTGTAACAATATCCTTAAAAATCAAAATTTAATAAAACATTGAATCCAAGTGCAGAAGTAGGTAGAGCAATGATTCCCAAGTAGAAAAAAAAATTATCCCCAAGGAAAATTTGTTTTGGTGGGACTATCTTGTATAGATTACCTCAGATTAAAAAAAAAAACAAACAAAAAAACAAGAGCATCTGATTCATTTGATTCTGATTTATTTGATACATTTTCACGCGTGGAATCACATTTTTAAAAGGCTAATCTGTGCTTGAATCATGATGTTACATACATGAAGATTGACAGTAACCTTTACACGTACATATCATTCATGAAGACACAGGTAGTAATAATTCCTCACAAACACTTATAACCTATTGTAACACTACACTTTCACTGAAACAATAACTCCCCCAAATGGACCACTTGTTGCAGTAACCTACTACAGTTAACCCAAGTTTTCCAAGCAAACCTGGGGCAGCTTCTTCATCTTCAAATAAATTTCCATCCACACCTGCTTGTCAGTAATAAAGCATGTATACACGGAGGTTAAAAAAATGAATATTTTGCCAGCAAGCATTGGACCCGAGGCTAAGACAATCACTATTAAAAATGTCTCACATCTAAATCAACTGTAAAACAAATTAAAATGTTTTTCCCTTGGTGTGTTTATCCTTCTAAGGGCATTGCATTTAATATAACACTTTTGTAATCAAATGAAATCACATCACAAAGATGACATGAAGTCGAAGCTTTGTCCTGTATGATACACACGTACTACCCCAGTAGTTTCTGGATGGTATCACAAAAATTTTTATAGTGACCCATTTTTAAACAAACTTGAAGACAAATACTGTACATAAAATAGTGTGGACTCATCAAAAGACTACAGTCAAATCATACGCACTCTGGCAGAAGTCTACACAGTATACAAATTATAATTACAGTGACTAATTATATAATGCACTGACTCTTAAGGATTGTGGAATAGCTTTTCGTTAAAAGGTGTAACACAAATCAAAGGATCTCTGAAGTTATTATACTATCCCTGGTCTCATTCATCCATAAAACATAAAAAATGGGACACTGCTAATTTTGATGTGTCTCCTTGTTTGAAAAAGAGGTTGTTTATAATCTTCTGGTATTATGAAATTCAATATTTTACTTTTTGCCAGTTACTCTACACAATAACATTATGCAACAATAACAATAAGTAGACACACCTAAGCTGAAACACAAATCTACTGGTATATGAAACAATTTCTTTTTAAAATATATTCTGTACCTTAAAGTCACTGTAAAACTTGTAGATCTGTTGATTTTTTTTTGTGACACCAAAGAAATTAAGGAATGTTTTTTTAGCCTGGTTACTGTAAAAATAAACTATAAACAAGTTAAGGACAAGAGCAGATCTGAAATGTATAAAATGTTGGATCGCCCCTTCACCTTGAGCACCTTAACCGAAGTGGTACATATGGAATAACCTTACAAGCCACATCCAAGATTTTGCTACAGGGGTGGGAGTTGTGGGTATGGGAATGAGTTGTGGGTGTGGGTATGGGTGGAAGTTGTTTGTTTCTCTCTGTGCAATTATTTTTGGTGATATAATACTGTACTTTGTCACAATGAATTTACTTTTTCCTTGCAATAGCGGAACCCAGGGGTGGGTCCACAGTGAGTATGCACCCCCTTCTCATCCATCAAAACAAAAAACAATATTTAAATGTTAAAATAGTTTCGTTTTACCATCAAAAACAGTATTACAAGTGAAAAGAAGCATGCTCAAGCATTCTTTATCCCTGTGCTCTGCATATTTTAGTTAAATTGTCCTCTTCAACTTCTGTATACTTGCCAAGCACAGCAACAAAATAAAAGAATCAATACACTGTGGGGTAAATCTTTCTACTGAATGGCAAAAACTTAAACAGATCTATTACTTGCCTTTCTCATATAAATGTGACTGAAACAGTCTTGCCTCTTCAAATTTGACAAATATCTTTCATTGCATTGATTATCACAACAAATGAACAATGTGGAAATGATTACTGATAATATTAAGACCATAAATGAGTTCTAAATCTTATCCACTGTACTTGCATATAATTGTTATGATGGGACCACCCTGCATTTTCACTGATTGCTTAATATTAAATACTCTCTGAGAGCATATGAGATCATTTTAAAAGGTTATCCTTTAAAAGTTCATCATACTGTCATGACATTTTTAAAGAAGAGTCATCATCAGTATCTTTCACCAACTGGAATTTTTTCAAGGTTTAACAGGTATAATAATAATAATAATAATAATGTTGAAATCCTGATTTTTCTTCCAATCCAAAATACCTTTCCAATTTTCCAAGCCAATTGTGCACCCTGAAAATGATTAAAAAATGTTGAAATACTGTCCTGTTAATATCCCATCCTGGGCATTTACCAGGGCCTGGGTTCTCTTAGTGTTTTGGCCTAAAATATACCAGCTTGGTTAACATGGAGGTTATGCATAGGACCTGTTTCTTTTTGCTCATTGCCTTGGAGGCTGCATTGGACTCAAACTCGTATGCCACCTTCTTGTTAACAATGGTCATCAAGCTTAGGATGTCCAACTGTTGACCGCAGTCTCCCAGGACCTGAATGAGTGCCTGCATGAACCAAGATCCGTTCATCGAGTTACGCCAGGAAAAGAAGCCTGGAAAAACATTCAATTATGTCTATAACAGTTGTCAAGAAGAAGGCTACCTTTTTATTGGTGTTGGTGTGTGTATGCTCATTTGTCAGTGGACATGTGTCAGGATAAACAGAAACAAAAAAAAAATTGAAAACATTTTAAACTAAAATCGGGTCACCTTCCAGGATATTTTAACATAAATTCTACTTGAAAAGTTGTCTTTTTGCTTAGTGGAGTGTTCTCTAGTTTAATATATAATAAACATAACCAGTATATCATATCAGATTCTGTAGATTTTGTTTATAATTGTCAGTCACAAATCTTTGTACAATTATTGCTTCACCATTTCTCTCCTTTTTCTCTTTTAACAGTGGGACACATAATGTTGTACAGGAAATTTTTTTGTACACAAATGTATATAAACATTTATTTTTTTTAAATAAATTTTTTAATCTCAGGCATTTATCAACCATACCTACCTGGCACCACAGAGTAAGCAATGAGGAAGTCTGCCTCGGCAGGAATTCTGTGCACATGGGTCCTACCGTCTGGTTCGTCTTCCCACATTTCTGCATCAGCGACCTCTACACCTCCGTCAAGTTTAGTGCCTCGACAAGCCTGCAAAATAAAACGGAGTGTGTAAACGAAAGAGGAATCCTGCTAGTCCAAGGCAACTGCATAACTTGGGACATTTCACTTAACTTGAACAAATTTCCTGATGTTGAAATGTCCCAAGTTATGCAGTTATTAATATGAATCTCGCCTAACTTGAATCTTCACTTAACTTGAACAAATTTCCTGATGTTGAAGATTCAAGTTAGGCGAGATTCATATTAATGCAACACTGGCACGACAACAAATGTATTGTCCTTTTAAGTATTTATTCCAACTGATCTTACACAGAAAACAGTACTTTCTTCATGTTTGATCACTGGTGTATCTCTCCCTAATTAAGCGCAAAAGGCTTTTTATAGTATAGGGTCACATGTCCCATGCGCTAACACCAGCTATACATATTCATTATATCCATTTACCTACTATGGTTACTTATACTAAGACCCCATTCCCAGAGATTAGATCGATCTAAACTAGATAGACCTAACTCCCTGGGGGTTCACGCTAGATAGCTGTCAGCCGAGCNAAAGTGAAAAAACAGCGTAACTTCCCTAAAAATGACCCGATCATGCTGATTTTCGAACTTGACCTGCGTATTATGCATATTCATCAGTTTCATAAGTTTCAAGCCAAAAGGTAAAACGGTTTTCCACTTATCGTGTTATCGGTGTTGCATATATGCTGAAAATAGGGAAAAAACAGCGTAACTTCCCTAAAAATGACCCGATCATGCTGATTTTCGAACTTGACCTGCATATTATGAATATTCATCAGTTCTGTAAGTTTCAAGCCAAAAGCAAAAACGGTTTTCCACTTATCGTGTTATCGGTAAAAGTGCACGACGGCGACGACGACAGACGCAGATGATGGCTATATGTACAGACACATCTGTGTCTGTACATAAAAAAAAGTGGAATGAAATTTAAAGGCACAATCCAAAGTGCAAAGTAAATCAAAATAAAGAATATGATTTTTTTACCAATACAAGAAAGTATGTTGTTTAAAAAATGTCCAAGAAATTTAAATTATCAGAAAAATATATAACACAGTTGTGAACATTTATTTTTATCTCCAAACAACTTGGTCCATTTGCCTCTAATTTACAAACATTCTAATATTTGTGTATGCGCCACATCCTCCCTCAACATACTCAATTTACAAGAAATTTTCTTGTGTTTTCAATAGCTCCATAAATATAACCCATACTTTCTCAAAAACAACAAGCAACACTGACTCAACTCAGGGGCGGATTTAGGCCGTCTTCTGGGTCTTCCGGAAGACGGTCAGATTTTTAAGTTTACATTGACGGGTATCTATTATTTTCTGTCGGAAGACGGTCAAAAATTGAGGACGAATTAACAAAGATTATTTGGAAGACTGTCAGAAAATATCTCTGGATCCGCCCCTGCAACTAACCTGAATGAAAATGAGCTTTGGTTTCCCTGCTAAAGTCAAGCATCTGTCACCCTTGAGAGGGGCAAGTAGCTGGTCCACCTCTATAATGCCATCTGTGCCATACACTTTCCCCTCCTCACCATGTGACAAAATTACCAAAGCCACACAGTCATTTTGGGAGTGATTTCTGCGTCCAACTGAAATAATAATAATAATAATAATAATAATAATAATAATAATAATAATATACCATTTTCAAATATTCTATATTTTTCATATTTTACTCTTTTCAAAACACTCTTTTCATATTTTTCCAAAGGAAAATAAACTGCAAACAACCTCACATTCCAGAGATACAGTAAGCAATTCTGAAAGCATATATATGGTAAAAACTTCCTGCAAGCATAAGGCAAGACACTAAAGTTGGAGTTGAGGAATTATTTAAAAGTATATATACACCCAAGGTTAAAGGGAAACTGAAATTAAGGTTAATCTTTCATAAATTATTGTACAGTGTACTAAGTACACCTTTCTTTTACTTGATAATGATTTCCTGCAGATACTCTGTTGATGTGATCATATAATTATTAAGAGACGCAAAGGTAACATAAAAATTAATTACTGAGATACACCTTAATTGCTAATTATTAATCACTATCTAGAAAAAGATGCAAGGAACTGGCTGCTATGAAGTATGAACAACATATGACTTTGTGTAGAAAGTTAAAGTACGCTTACTTCAACAGCTATGGGCAGTGTTAGAAATTAACGCTGGACCATCTGCCCGGGGCCGACAAATTTCAGAACGGGCTGAATTTTCCCACCTGGCAGACATTCGAGCCAGCTACTTTTCAAGATGGCTGAACTTTTGGTCCAGCAACTAATTTTTCTAAGAGGCAAACACTGGCTATAGAGTAAATTGCACAAAAACAAGATTTCATAACTCCGTACCTTCGGCCATAGTCATCGACATCCTAGAACAAGTCACATTGTCAAAGCGATTCACGTCAAATCCCAGTGCACGAAGTCTGTTCTCAATCCCATTTGCGTCCTGGTCCGTGCCGCGTCTCTCTGCCATACCTGTATGAGACGCAAAGTTGCAGTTGTTGAAAATGACGGCAAGGCCTCTATTTTCATAAGTCATGGGATACTCCATATCGTGGTCTCCACTGGAACCAACTTGCTGTGGCCTGCCTGCCTCTGGAGCAACTCTGAGACTGGAAACATTGGAAAATCTCTATAGAACTGTATGTTTTCTATTGTAGTCCATGAGCCAAAGGCCAAAAAATCCAATTTGGCTGCACCCCCCATCAGGCAAAGGTTTTATGATTGATTCTTGTAGTTTAGAACCTGAATTTTTCATTTCTGCTTGTTTCCGGCTTGAAAAAGTGTCTGTTTGTACCGGAAACAGGTCAAATCCAAGATGGCCGCCAACTGTTAATACAAAAATTGATTTAAAAGTTACTTAACAACTTAATATTATCAAAATTTGCACTGATTACAAGTACTTAGGCCTTCTTCCATTTTTCAGGCACTTTACATTTTTCAAGATGGCGACTGAATCCAAGATGGCGTCCATTTTCCTTACTTTTTGTGAAAAAATACAAATACCTAAATTTGAATTTTTTTTTATTAACCAAAAATTGGAATATTTTACATTTTATTTTATTATATTTTACATTTCATCACCGCTCCAACTTTCTTCAGTCTGTTCCTCTGACCCCCCACATGCACCCTCATCAGACTCGGAGCTGGACAGATCTTCCTTGACCTCTGATATTGAAGAAAATATTGTTCATGTGTCTGGACAGGTAAAAATAATTTCACAATGATCTAAAATGGTGATAAATAATCTGATATACTGTTTTGCAATTTTGATATACTTGTATGTGTTATCATTTAAAAATTTCCATGTTTTTTATTTGTAATATTCAACTGTAGCCCATATAGGGATGGTGTACACTACTGATGCAAAATGTCAACCTTTTGATTGCAATTTTCAAATAAATAATGATTATGAAAAAAACATATTCTCAAAATAAAACTGACTTTCAATAATCAACAAACAGCCGTAACCTTACTGTTGTATATTAAATTTGACTGATATTATATCCGTATATGTACTAGAATATACTTGTATGTAAAAATACCTTCCTTTGATTGTTTTCAAAAGGAAACTCACCCTTTATGTGTAACATATATTAAAAATTATTAAAACATAAAAATGATTGGAAAAAATATAACACATATATCACAAGTAAAAAAAATGGTAAGTCTCACCGTTTTTGCCATTGGCTTTGCCACTTTTTATATTTTGTATCCTCTGTTCTGCCTTATCCAGGTGTCTATTTAATTTCTCAAGACCAACCTCTTTGAAAACCTGCCTGAGTTTGTTGTATTTTCCTTTAGATATTATCATTCGATTGTTAAGTTCATTTAGAAGATCTAATGTGTCCATATTCTCTATTCTTCCGGCTCCAATTTTGCTGGTAAAGCGATGCTTTATCAGCTCTAACTGATCTTCAGTTATTTCTTTCTTAAGCCGTATCGCTAATAAACTGTGGATTCCCGCGGAAGACGCCATCTCGTGTTGTTCACATCAAAGGTGCCACTGATTAATGTAAAAGAAAATGTCTGTTAGAACTGACCATACCCAATACCAGATCCAGGTCTCTTTTTTGGAATACATCCAGGGCACAGTTGGCAGACATCCCTTGCTTCTAAATCATGCACATTTGCAACATTGTATTGTCTTTGCCTTATTATTTTATTTATTTATTTATTTATTTATTTATTTATTTTGACAAGTGAAGTGAGACAATTTGTTATCCTTGTGACCTTATCCTCCAGAGACAAATTCTGGATTCGCCAGTACATATTAGTACAGCATTAGTTATACAGGTTTTTCCGTCTCTGACATACATTGTAGTAAGTTATAAATTTTACTAACATTTTAACTAGAAAAAATGTACAGGGTGTTCAGCTGACAAAAATAACCCCAAGACTAGTAAATTAATTTTAATGGAGTCGCTTGCTTGTGCACTGGACTCATTTTATGGAATAACATGTATTTCTGTAAGGCAAGTGTTCTCGTGCAATTTGAGCAATTAAGATTTGTAGGCCTATGCACTGCACAATAGTGCATAAAGCATTGGATCCAACTAAGATAAGAAATTCGGATATAAGACTGCATTCCCACAGATTTAGATTGATCCATCTAGATCGACCTAACTCCCTGGGGGTTCATGGTAAATTGCTGTCAGCCGAGCGCGCATGGAAGTTAATTACCCCATTACAGCTTTTAGTAGGCAGGACAGACATTTAAGCCGGCTAAGCTGACAGTAATCTAGTGAGACTCTAGGGATAGATGGATCTAAAATCTGTGGGAATGCAGTCTAAGCCTTCGGAATTAACAGTGAGGGGATCAGATTTAGAGAGACCACTTGGGAGAGCTTAGAAGACGGACGTGAATTATGGGAGAGGGTTCCGAAGCCGAATACTTCGCATAGAACAATGTATAGTTAGTATTACATATTTGGCAGGGGTGAGGGAGGGGGCATGATCCTTGTACCCTCTACCAGGGCCGCATATTAATTGTGTATTTTCCCCAGCGTGACATTGAATCGTTTCATGAATTATATTAGCCAGAGACATATGTAGGAATATGTACTAGTAATGAAAAAGCCATCTTTGGCCCTGGTAGTATAGATCAAGGTTCACTGGAGGGTAAACGCACCTGGGAATAGGACTATTTGTATGTACACAGCATGAAAATTCGTGCGTTAGCACTCCTATTGATGATTCTGATATGTACTGTCTGTGCTGTGTGTACTAGCTGTCTGTGCTGTGTTAGGTGGGGAAGCCTATATAATATCTGTCCCACGACCTCTCTGTTATGTTCACGATTTAAGAATGTTACATATGATCATACAATGACAAAAATCTATCCAATATGGAACTGCTTACCTCAGCAGTAGAAAAGCCCTAGGCTAAGGTCAGGCTGGGGACACTGAAGGGCCATTGACAGGTGACCCAATTAAGGAGTCCTTTCTCGTCCTTCATGTAAAACTCCCTGACCTATCAATATCAATGGAAGGCTTAATCACAGCTGTTTCAATAAAAGAAAAACAGTGATAGGCATTCTCTTAATTTGGTAGATAATATATTTCATAATACTAATAGTTTCGATTTCCGACTTGACTTTTAACACCAGTCCATCTTTGAAGAAAGACCGGTTCGATTACAGCATATAAAAGTACCAAGTGTGACATTTGCCCTTTTTTAGTTAATGACAAAACCTTAGGTTGCTTCTCTATGGTAATTGGCACTCTGTCCGCTATAAAATAATGACGCCAACGAGATACAACAGAAAATTAACCGGTACGCTGCTGTCACCAGGAACTGTCGTCCATATTTAAGGAACTCTAGGTCACATGACTTTTATAATTATGACGCGTTGCTAAATATAGCCACGGGATTTCCTTTTCACTGCTTTTAGTCTGGGGTTTAAAAAAAAACTTAAATATTATATATTTATGTCTATTAATGTGATAGTTGTAATCAATTATAAAATTTACTGTATTTCTGACTCTGCCAAAAGGAATAAAAAAGTGAAAATACAAAAGAATACTGGTGAAAATAAACAAATAAATATGATGGATAAAATTAGATAATCTACTAGTTGGCTTACCCAATATCAAATATAATCATTTAATGAGACCAGCAATGTCCCAGAGTTTATATAGTTCATAAAAAGAAGAAAAAGCAGTAGAACACGATGAAATTTGTGTTTAACGTATTATTTTTCTCACTGTAACACCAAAATCCCAGATAGCAAGCATACGTTGGGCCAACGTAGGGGAATCGTTGGTTTGTTGGCACATAGTTGGCGTTGGTAGTAATACGTTGGCCCAACGTTGGCCCAACCACATCATAATATGCACAACATAACTGCAATATGCTCACGTTGGCCCAACGTTGGGCCAACGTGTGCATATTTGTTGCATACGTTGGCCTAACGTTGGGCCAACGTATCCAATTAACAACTCAATAGAAATGAATAATGTTTCTGTTATAATAAAAATGTTTCTGTTCACAACTGAGAATCACATGTGCTTATCTATTGATCAGTAACATATAGTTTTTAGGATTAA